CAGATTTTTCCTATTTCACTCAGTGAGTTTGGCATTGAAGACCTCTGGTCCAAAGCTACCCTTGACTTTCATCTAATAAAAACCCTCATTTTTTCTGGTCTGTCTCACATCCAGCAAATATCTACTTCATTAGCTCTTGCTAGTAACGTAGTCCTTGCAATAGTCCTGACTTCAGAGTCCGTAGATGGTATCTTTTTTGAATTATTCTACAAGGAAGTTAGATAATTCCTTTTTATTATTCTTTGCTAGGCTTGTGGGAACAGAGAGCTATATTTCTAATAGGCTTTTCATACATACAGTATACTACCAGCTTAGGGCAAAGAGAAAACGAGGAAGAAATCATTTGCTTTGTCACTTTTGCGAGAAGAATAAACATTACATAACTGCATTAATATAATCTGCTTGCTTAAAGTCTCAAAAAAAGAAATTACCAAGTTATTTAACTAGAAAATCTGGACATTTTTAAATGCACTAGAAAACTCCTTTATATAAAATGTTTTAGTGGCAAATGACCATGGGATGCAGCTCTAGCTAAAAGTAATTTTTGAAATTTATTTAATACATGATTTGTGATAGAATATTCTTAATTTCTTCTCATAGGTAGTTTATGACAAAAATGATTTTAAAATTTTCCAATTCAAATGTCATATTAGGTATTTACACTTGTAATCTTAAAATTATTATAGACACCTATTTAGACTCTTCCTATTAATATATATCTTTCAGATTATCTGGAAGTTCAGCATGTTTCTACAAACCTTTTTAAATGATGCTCAATTTGCTGCCAGATGCCGTTCTACCATCCTATTTAGTGCAATTTCCTAACCTGGAGAGAAGTCTTCCTCAGCTTATACCAATTGAAACAAAAGGAGGTTTTCAGAGACTTATTTTTTCTCAAATTACTAGCAAGCTTCCAACGAGAGGAACAACTAGAAATCCCCCACAACTGCCGGCAGTGATACTTAGCTGTTTTGCTACCAAACTGGAGTCAAGATTTCTAGAAATGTATCTCCTCTTCATGGCTGACAACTACATTAATTTTCCTTGGCTCTACTGTAGCCATTGGATAAGCATCTCAAACACCCCCTGGCATGTCACACAGTCACAGAATTAACAGGTTGGAAGGGACCTCTTCCAGTCTGACCAGCTGCTCAAAGCAAGTCAAGTTAAAGCAGTTACACAGGACCTAGTCCATTTGTGATCTGACTTTCTCTGAGGAAGGAGAAGCCACAGCCTCTCTCGGCAACCTCTTCCCACATGCATGACCACCCTCATGGGGAGAAAGATTTACTGGGTCTAATCTAACCATATTTTCCCATTTTACCAACATATGCCTGTTGCTTCGAGGCCTATCACTGGACACCTCTAAAATAGCCTGGCTCTGTGTTCTCTGTACTCTCCCATTAGGGAGAAGACAGCAGTAAGATGCTCCTGAGCCTGTTCTTCGTACAGTTGAACAAATCATGTTTTAGCAGCCTTCCCTCATCCATCATATGCTTCAGCTGTCTGGTCCTCTTGGTGGCCCCAGCTAGACTTGCTGCAGCCATTGAAACTCCTGTTCTTTGGAGATTTCCAACCATGAGGGGGGAAAAATAATATTGTTTTGGTGAATATCTATCTAAATTAGGAATAGTAATAACAGAAAAATCTTTTCACATTTAGAAGTTGGAATCCAGTCAGAGATATTCCTAAAAATATGTTAGAGATTTAGGAAGAAACCAGCATGAAGTAATTGTATTCACATTGTATTCAATTTCAAGGGAAAATACTTTTCTTACCAGAAGATGGATCTATATGATTAAAAGCACGTATATGGCATGTGTACGTATAAAAATGGTGCAGATTTATGCCACATACCTGCTTCTAATCATTTCAGGCCTGAAATTTTAGATTATTAAGTCACTTATACTGTCCTAGCACAGCACATCGAAATTTTAGCCAGAATGGTAACAAGCTGTGTGAAAAATAATCTACTTATGCCCTACCTGAAACATATTCTGTGCTGACTCAAGGTGACTTTTTGAGCAAGACCATCTCTTCAGCAAATTCCCAGTTTTACTATTTTAATTTTAGCTAGATACACTTTACATCTGCAAAAACAGGTGCTGAGTTAGTAGGAAACAGTGTAATTCATGAACAAAGTACTGTTTGTACATTCTTAAGTAAAATTCAAGGTATATGCTTTTGCTGATATCTGGGAATAAAGGATGACTTCTGCAAGAGTGATTTAAGGAGAGGAAATCGACGAAAGCTTTGTGAGATGGTGAAAAAATATGGATTAAATGTGTCAGAGCTGTTGCTAAGTGGAACTGACAGAGCCACTGAGATAGCTCAATGAACCTGATTAAGACAGTAGTGAGAAACCGTGCTCTGTCCACCTCCACAAGACTTTATCATAAAATATTTTGTTAACTTGGTATATTGAGTCTCCCTCCTTAAAATAGGTCTCAGATTGCATGGAGGCCACGCTGAGAAATATAAATAGATACCACTAGTGTCTCATTACTTTTACAAAATTCAATAGAATAGCCTCCATGTTCTCAACAAGCTTAAATTGAAACCCAGTGTTAAACTCACAAGCAGGCCTTTATATACCTTCATCTTAATATAACTTCCTAGAGTTAGAACAAGTTTTCTAGTTCCTATCATTCCTATAACATAAATGAAGTCTTTTAAAAGCATGTTCCTTTAAGAATACTTACAGTCTGATATTCTAAAACAGAAATCCATCTACCTTTTAATTTTCAAGTAAATATTACACAAGAACACAGTTTGCCTTAATGAAGTATTGTTAAATAGAGTATTATTTTTATAGGGAGCTGCACCAATTTGGGATACCCATATGTGACATTGTGGCAATCTTTGCTGTTCTGTAAACCGCGTGGGAAGAATCTTTAAATGCTGGGAAGAACAGCGGTAGAGTAGAAAGGTCCTTGCGTCAGAGCTGCAGAGACCCAGAGCCTGGTGTCTGAATATAAGCCAGCCGTTGCTGGGCCTTCAGTTGTGAATTTTAACTGAAGCAGCCAAGGCGCATGTGAGTTCTGATAACAGCTGCGAGAACAGTAACCCGTAGCAGAGAACGGGTCAGCGATGGGAGCGATTATGCCAAAGCCCTGCAGTAAGGTTTGCTGGGGCCTGTATTTAGCACACCCAAATAGTTTATTTTTTCATATTAAAAAAAATTCTTATCTGCAACCAAATTTTTCTTTTTCTGTCTGTCACGGACACTTACCCTACTATCAAAATCACATGTTAATGTACATTTTACCACAATACCTCAGCCTCAATATTCTACAGAACAACAAACATGCACTGGTAGGTCTCTCAATATCCTCTTTCCACAGCTTCTTCCTTTCTGCCTTTGATGGCCAAGTCTTTCTCATAGGTTTCATTTGTACAGTCTTTTCTTTCCCTCTATATATGTCTATATCTAAATAGTGTAATAACTTTCAACTATATTACTGTTCTAAACTTGTCCTGCAATTTCTCTCACATGCATGCAGTCCGTGATACTACACATAATTTTCTTGGACACCGTGAATAGGATAGGAGCTTGACAGCCCAGTGTAACGACTGGTGATTCCTTAGTCCTATCCTCTCATTTTGCTTTTTCTTTTCAAAACTCTACTTCACATTTCTCTGTTTGCATTACATGCAGCCAAAAAAGAAAATAAAGCAGATTTTAGCGTTTGAAGGGTCAACATCCCAATAGTAGAGTTTAGGAAAAAAAGAAAAAAATCACAACACAGGAAAAAGAAAGTTAAAATGGGAAAGTCTGAAGAGGAGATGTAAGAAGATGTGTCGGAGAGGGATATTCTCCTTAGTTCTAAATCCTGTTGTACTGACTCTGTTTTACAGCTATTTTATTTCTGCATGCTGTTTACAGTTGTATATATCATGAGTAGCAAACTGTAAAGCATATAATATAAGGAAAAATTGTGGTCCATTTAATTTTTTTCTATTTGTATGTGAAAACATTCTGTGTACATGGTTTCAAAACACACAGGGAACAGTTGTCAGAGCCCTGCCTGTAAACGAATGGATGGGAATGAATAAATATCCTCTATTAAATTTGCTGAAAACACATTACAGTGTACATTTTTAAAAGAAAGGTGTTTTCTAAAAAAACTCATACTCATTTCATTGTCCGTGAGAAATTAAGAGCAGGATAGCAAAGAGTGTTTACTCAGGCACTTAGCCAGGAAACTGTGTTTTCCACAGATACAGCCATTCAGGGAGCACATCTCTGATTTTCACAAGCTCCGTCCCTCTCTTCTCATACTTCAGTAATTATATCGAGAAATCTATCTGTAGGTGAGAAAATACATACAGTTTATTCAAATGCTGCCTCTTTCCTTTAGGCAAGTGCTACCACACTGAGGCCATTTGTAGGAATTTTACACAGCAAGATAAACAAATGAAAACCCCTTAAGGAAACACATGAACTGCAGGATAGTTTCACAGTGAATCGTTACCAAAAATCTGCGTAAGATGGCTATAAAAGAATTCTCTCTAAATCTTCTGTGAAATGCAGCACTGCTTATTAGCAGGCTTGATGGAAAACCTCATGAGGCAGAAAGTCTTGTCACTTTATTTGTCTGTGCTTTCCTGCATCTTAAGTTGCAGCTTAGGATCCCTCAGGATCATGTGAGGCTGGGTTATATATTAGAGAGCTGTGCTATAGTGCTGGGAGTGTGTAAGCCTAGCAGCTGGGTAGTGTTATGGTTGCTGCTTTCCTGTGCTAAGCTGATTTACTTGTTTAAGGTCTGACCTCATCATCCTGTCAGTATGGATTCCCACCTATACAGTTAGCAGCAGCTTAGCATCGGCTTGAAGAGCTTGCAGTATATTAATCAGAAGAGAGAGGGAGAGAGCTACCGGTATTTGTTCTTTTGTTGTCTTTTCTTAAGAAGAGGAGTTGGAACACAAGAGATAACAAAGAATCCATTTCCTTTCTAAAAGAATAGGCTTTTGCCTTTTTTTTTTTTTTCCTGTAAAAAATGTCAGTATCTGGAAAGAAAGAGTTTGATGTGAAGCAGATCCTGAGGCTCCGCTGGAGGTGGTTCAGTCACCCCTCGCAAGGCTCCACAGGCACGGGGGGCTGCCATCAGCAGGGAGGATATGAGCACAGAGGGACACCGGTTCAGAACAGGTTGAAGAACCACGCTCGGGACAGAAATGGGCTGAAGAAAAACAGCAGTCCTGTCCACCACAATATACTGGCACCTGTGCCAGGTCCAACCCCAGTGTACCACCGATCTATTCAAACCTGGCATCAACAAAATCTCATAGAACAGCTTCGATCAAATGAGGATATTCCCAAAACAAGCACAGAGGAAAACAGTGTCAAAGAAGATTCAAGTAAAACCACGCAGGAGTTGCAGATGATCACAGAAGAAAATTCAGATGAATCTGCAGAGAGGTAGGAGTTTTAAAGTCTGCACTTAGAAAGCTTTACTTCTATCCAAGTTATTCCCTAAACCTGTCTTTGTTTCTAACCACAGTTTCTTACTGTATTAGTCCTACTTTATATATGTGCACACCCACACTCAAATGAATACACATTCACATTCAAAAATGAACAAGAAAATTGTCATATGTTGATCTTTGCTTAAGAAACATAATTTCATAACCACTCCATAAAAATAAAATCTGCTAGCTTGTAGGATTTTCTGTGTTACAGTTTATAGCATATTATTTTTGGGGGTCTTGATTTATTATGTTTAAGTGCAATGAAAAAATGAGCCTTCTGAAATACTGCCCTCATTCTGACTTTATCAATGGGTGCAACTTTGACAAATGGGAACTGCTGGAGGTGCACAGTCTGTGTGGTTGCCATCGATCTGCCAAATTTCTCACGGCTTTTTTTTTTACTGCCTTCTTGACAAGTATAATTAACCTTCAATAAAATAGAAAGGAAGCATCATTGCTTGCTTTTTTAAAGGTTTGTTTGATATCACATTACTTTCACAGCTTGATTAGTATACTGAGAGCCAAACACTTTCTGCAAGGTCAGGTGAAAAAACATTACAGCTATGAAACCTTAAAGGTATAAGCACAAAGGAAGAGCTATGTTAAGATGTTAACACAGAGAAGAAAATATTAGTACAAGTTATATGAGTAGTCAGGCCACTTATTTTTTTATTATTTACTTCAAAATTGATGTCAATATTATTAGCTTATACAGCCACAATTTTACCCCACCTTGAACTCAAATTATGCATTTATAATGTGATTATTTGCATCGTTTGATGACATTGTCATCAGTCTTCGGGAATAATTTAGGTTTCTTGCATTGTATTTAAATAAAAATCTATCTTACTTGAAGTTAGAGTTTCTCTCATTAAAAACAAAGATGACAGTTTGTGTATTTTTAGCAGTTATTCTTTTTCAAGTTGTACATCTGGTATAGGGAACATCTGCAGACTGAACAGAAAGTAAATGCATTCCAAAATGTCATTCTGAAAACAGGACTAGTAGTCAGTGTGCACTACATAAAATCATTACAGAATAAAATCAGTGAGATAGGCATGTGGTAGCTCTGTATGTTTACTGGGGTACAAGTTTTTAATGTGTATCTTAGTATAACTTGTTTTGAATGGCAGTACAAATTTCCTTGGGGGAGGGGCGGGGGGGAGGGGAAGTAATTTTAGACACACCTTAGAAAGAAAGTCAATTTAATTTGAAGAAAGATCAGGAACACTGAATAATCAAAATAAGATTCTATATCAGGTGAAGAGGAAGGAAAAAAAAAATCAGTTTGGAAGGTAATAAGCCACTGTCTTCTAAAATATGATATTTCATTTTCTCCAGCTATATATAAACTTTATGCTAAGACATCATGAAGTTTTGTGCCTTCATATTCCATCAAATGTAAGTTCTTCTCTTGAGCTGTTTAAATTTACAGCTTTTAGAGAAGTTTTGGGAATATATACCTCTTACAAAGTATTGTTATATTCAAGTGAGTGCATTTTCTTTAGAGTTCTCAATAAAAGCTTTTTATGCATATTGAAGGTTAAAACCTCTCTTAATATACACTTTAAAAGGCTGAATTTGAAAGAAATTCTTTAGAAAGTGATTCGTTATTATGAGTTTCTCTATAAGTAAAACTTAATTTCAAAAAATTAAAATAGATGATTAAAGACACCTCAACATAGCTCCAATTTTTTAAATATGTACCAACAGAAATCATTAAGTAAATCATCATTCTCTTCCCCTATAGCATCCAGCACAGGCCACACAGAAATTAATATGTTAATTGATTTGGTAGGAATGAAATATTGAGAAGAAGACATGAAAAGAAGCAACCTTATATCTAGTTGCTAGATATATTTGCCATCTCTTCAGAACAATAACTTCTCTTATACCTTTGAAATCATCCTTTTAATCATCCAAATTATTTTGGGCCTCCTTTTTCTTTGGATGTTCCAAATAGTCACAATCGATTGTAATCAATGGGATCTAATAGTAATTAACACATCTGAAAAAATAAAGCATTTGCAGGATTCCCTGACTGCATCTTCTTATACTATTAAAGCCACTGCATCATGGAGTGTACAACTATTGCAGCCACATGATCTTTCACATCCATACCTGAGGACACCGAAGACAATCTCGTACATATTTGCCTTTTATTACATAAAAGGAATTCTATCTTCAGTGGTTGCCCCTAATCCAACGAGTTTATCTCTGCCTGTAGGAGTCCCATTTTTATCTGGACTCTTAAGAAGGAAACTGCTACATGTCACCTGAACATCAAAATAGTATAAAAGTATAGAAAGTCAGGCCATTACCTCAAACTTGAGCAGACTACGAAAGTGATTTCTACTATCAGCTTGATGCTTCCTACCAAAAAGCTTTGGGAACATGAAAACAATATTTTCAATTTTTTTCAGAAAAAATTGAGATGTCTACTCTAGAAACTCAGGACGTAACTCTTTCAGTGATAGGGACATGGTACCCTGGGGCTTGTTTATTGAGGAGGAAAGATAAATAAAAATTCCAAGCAATAGTTCCACTGTTAATACACTGTCATCAATACACTAGTTTCTGCTTTCTTCAATCTTTTTTGGTACTCCTGCACCCAAAATAAGTAGCAACTAAAGAACCCCTTCTGACCTACACACTTGTTCCTGAATGACAAATGGCAGAAAAAGTAAATGACAGCTTAAGTCACCAAAACTCATTAGTTTTGTATTAACAGTAGCCAGTTAAGATGGGAACAACCAATAAATGCTAGGTGCATAACACGTGAAATGCTTATTGGCATAAGGTTCAGTAAAGCCTCTCTGTGTACTTGGAGACTGTCTTACCCCATGTTGCTAAGGGAACATACTCAAAAGGTATCAAAAAGTCTTCTAGAAACACCTAAAATGATGGGCCTTGACCCATTCTAAAATCCTTATGGAAGTTGCATCTGTGGTTTTGAAAAAAGTCTAACAGTGGAAGATGCACATTGCATTGACCGAGTCTGATTCTCACCAATCTACTCCGTGAATAAGGACTGGTGCATTTTCCCAGATGAAAACCAGAGAAACTAGCTAAAACCTGAATAGATACCAAGTTACTTTGTTTACTTGTACACTGTATTTCCCACTATGAAATATTATGGTATTACTGGGATGGTCAGAAAGCTAAACCCACAGAATATGGCCAGGCAAATGAAGAGCTAAAACCTTCAAAGATTTTCAGTTTGTCTTAAAGTAGTGGCTTAAGTGAGCTCTGAAACTGTGCATGATATTAAACTGTGAATTGCTTCTGATTCAGAAGGTATGGTTGTGGATTTCTCTGCACTTTTGTTAGCTGATGATCATCCCTGATCTCCTCTAACTGTCTAGAATACATTGGGTTTCAGGCTCCTCCATCAGGGAGACTTTGAAGCAGTTCCATGTCTTTCAAAGAAAGTGATCTGGAGGGTCCAAAGAAATCAGCAGAAACTGGAGGGATTTGATTGTTAGAGTTCGGTTGATGGTCAACAACAAAAAAAGAATCTATGATATTGAATTACCTTGATTACCTCCCTTGATAAAGTTTGGACTCGCAAACACCATTGTATTGACCTTTCAATATGAATACGACACCCAATATTTATTAATATTGTGCTATTTCGCGACATCCGTTTATGCATGCTTCCTGGGAGGTATGATTCTGTAAGTGTACAAGTGAAGACCATGTGTGCTGGTAACATATGCGTGAACCTCTTCTCCTAGTTGCCCAAAGGCAGTTAGCTTTCAGGAATGAATGTAGCATCCATTCATCAATTTTCTCATGCGTTTTTTCTAATTACGTGGCCGAAAAATTGCTGACAAACCCTAGTTGGTCGACACACTGTAGTTTTGCTGGAGATACATGCTTTCTAATTTACCAGATGAGGCAAAATATACTTCTAATTCATTTTAATAGAATATTTTGATGTCATAATCCAAGAATTCAGTACTGATGTACATGGAAACAGATATTCAGGAGTATCCTCTTAACTGAGGCAATACGTTTTTTGCAGTGACTACGATGTTCAGTTATTTTGATAGTTTATCTTAAGACATGAAAACTCATCTTTTTTTTTTTTTTCTTTTACCAGCCATATGGACAAACCAGACCATTTCCCTCACTGTGTCTGACATATACATATATACACACAACCATTTCAGATATTGTTCCTTATATGAGGGTTTTCCCTGAAGTTCTATTTTTATTCCAGTAGCAGATAACAGCCTTGGCTCACATTCCAGTGTGAAATAAAGGTACCACAAGGAAAAAATACCCCTTTAATTATTGCAGTATCCCAGAAGATACTGAACAGGTGGAAATGAATAAATGAGTGTGCAGTGCCTGACCCCTATTTCTTGCACATATGATGCCATTTTTTGGTTAGGTAAACAGATCAAGGAAACATGCTGAGCACTTTTTTGGGGAGATCCATTACACTACATATTCATCATGCCCTCTAAAGTTTGTAACAGGTACTCATTGAAATGATGTCTGCTTAGTTTTCTGGTGCAAAATATAATTTCCAAAAAAGAAAAAAGTTGATAATTTTCCTGGTGAAAATGAATTGTTTTATGAAACCACTGGTCAAACCAGAATGAGAGGATGTTTTGCATTAAGAGCACAGTTCTGGGTATCCAAATAAGCATTGCCCTACCACTGATACACAAGAATGATTGGTAATGAATGGCAGTACACCTAGTAAATGGAAGGCCTGCGGTGTATCCTTTGCAGAGAAGATGATAAAGTGCCACAACCAGAGTAGTACCTCATGATACTATTTTCCTCTCTTGTGTAAGAATTCAGTTTCATGAACCATCTCTGTGAAACAAAAGCTTAGAAATGATCATTCCTATTCTCACACAGCAGCAGCCTTTATTTTTAAATGAGAACATGACTGCTCCAATTTTATTTTCACTGAATTTACAACATTTGGGA